TCTAGTCTCTCTCTAGAAAACTATATTATAAAATTGTTGTCATGTAAAGAAATAAAGATAATACAACCAAAAATATAGAGGAAAAAAGTATAAGGGTATGTGAGGCAGTTAATGAAGATAAGTTGTTTTTCTTGGTTTTGTAATGTTTGTTAGCTTTTAAATGTGTCTTTTTTGTGTGATTTTTCATTTTACATAATTATTTAATTTTGTCTAATTTTATATCAATTTTCTTAAAGAGAATTGCAAATTCTACAAGCTTCAAGCTGTCTAAAATCTGACTCTTTGGCCTAATAATCAGAATAACAACAACAACAACGTTTTAAACGGTTCCAGTGATAGGAATTTAGTTGGAATACAGTTCCGTGCAATTAGGTCTTTATGTAAGGAGCTGTCAAGTGTGCATATGAAGCCATAAAAATCGCTGTAGCATCAGCCAAGGACTTGTCAATCCCCAACGCCCTCTGTCACTCGGCCAACCTCCCAGCTTCGTCACCACACCTGACGGCTGCCCGCTGCACCCATCCCGAGTTGCTCACACCACCGAGTGCTGCTCTGATGCGAGACACACTTACCATTCTCGGGGTTCCAGGCCTGCTCTCCCGTCATTCCCTTCCCTGAACAACGGTCACTCCAAATCTCACTGTGCTTTACATGGAGAAAAAGTTTCTCTCTCTCCCCCGCTTCCCCCCGAGTGCTAGGTCACTTCCAGTGTTCAATAAACAGCAGCGGAATAAAGGAAAGAATAAAACAAATTATTAGCAGGGCTGTCTCTGGAGGTTGGAGTAAAGAAGACCTTAACTGCTTCCCTTTATTTCCAGTTCTAGTCTCCCGGTGGATAGATGAATCTGTTTTATCATTATTTTTTAGATCAAGCCAAATCAGGAAACTGTGATGGAGCTACAGTCTTCCTTAACAACACCCTTCACCTGGGTTCCTTCCAGGATTTGAGTTTGGTGTTGTATTTTTTTCAGACTTCTATTTTATGCTTGTGCATACCTGTATATGATTATGTGTATGTGTGGTATTGTTTGGGTGGAAAGGAAAGTTTGTTGTTGTTGTTGTTGTTGTTGTTGTTTTTAAATAAGAGGTGTCATCCCGTACCTGTCACTAGTCCTCTAACTTAATAACGTGTTTTGGGATCCATCAGCTTTGATGTGTGCCTGTACACAAGCATCCTCAGTTATGCCTAGTGGGGGTGCACTTGGCTTCTGAGCAGAACAATTTTCAGGTGTTTAGGACTGCATTGTTCTTTGTTGCAAGTTAAGCATTCCGGGCACCCCACCACCCCCCGGCCCCCCTTTGCACAAAGTGCTCATAGCACCTGACCCCTTGCCGTCATCAACAAAATGCTCTCAATGCCTTTTCATCCTCGGTTAACTTCTTACATAATCTTCTTCTAGGAGCTCTCAACTTTATTTATCACTTTGCTGCGGGCAGACATTTAGGATGGTTCCAAATTTTTACTCTCGCCGACAAGTCTGCAATAAACACCTTTGTTCCTATTTCCTTCAGCTTATGTGTGAGTATTGCAAGAGGCTGACTCTAGAACAGGAATCCCTGGTCACATGCCCATGTTCAGCCCACCTGTGCTAGATTCCCCTCCAGCCTTCTACCCTTACCAGCAGTGAATGGTAATACCCACGGCCCTGTATTCTTCAATACCTAATACTGTCTAATTCTTCAATTTTAGCCATGCTAGTGAGTAAAGAAAATATCACGTTGTTGTCTTGATTTACAGTTCTCTAATTAGTATTGAGACTATTTGAAATTCCTATTTGCTCCTTTGTGAAAGACTCCCACTTTCTCTTCTATATATGTACATATTTTAATTTTTACTGCATATGATTTATAATCGGAAAAAATAATACACACTTTACAAAATAACTTACTGTCCTTCACGGCCTACTCAGATATTGGCTCATTCAAACAATGGTCTTGATCTTACTTCCTGGAACCATTCTCTGGAACGTAGTTTGCAAAGTACTTGGCTTACCCTCCTGACTAAATTAGTGGAGACTAGACCGGGGCTTTTCCATTTCTATTCTCTTTGACCTGCCTCGTATAATGCCTTGTGTAATGTGTGGCACAGATTTGAAGCTTAATAAATCAAGATTGGAATGATAAAAGGTAGAGAAGGTTGTTATGAGAAAACTGTCAGCTTTATTTTCAACATTTGGCTCTTTGTGGACACGGTCTTGAATGATCCTTACCGAAAGTGGACATAGACCTAGAAAGGACATGTAATCTTATTTGGATCTAGAGTCAATTTCCCAGAAGATACGTTCATCAGAATTTCTAGGAAAGGGATACTTAGTTCAACTAAAAGAGGAAGGTCAGATGTGGAAGAGCTCTTCGGGGAATGAGGATCCCATTGCCCCAGAGACATCTTGAAATGTGGGAGGCTGCCTGGTAGTCTCTGTCTTAGGTCAGCCCAGGCCCAGGACTCGATAAAACCCAACGGGATGGCAGTAGTGACTCAGCTAAGCTGCCACCCAGAAACTAACCCATGCTGAGATATTCCACATTTAGGACAGTGTGATTCTCCCTGCTTTACGCTCAAGTGTTTCTTGTATGTTTATGATATATCGTTAGGATTTGAAAGATGAGCGTAAAAAAATTCTTAGTAAAAACTGCCATCCGGCTGTAATTACCAGAAGAATTCTGTAAATGTTTTCAACACAGACTTCAGATCTCACTGAAAAGAATCCAACAAAATGTCCAAGCCCTTTATGTTTTAGAATTTCATTAATCAAGTTTTATCACTTCAAAGAAGTAACCTATTGGCTAAAACAGAATCTTACACCAAAGTGTTCATCTAAAAAGTAATTATTGGCATGATGTTTTTAAGGACTTGTGACCTTGTGGAGATTTCACTTGTCAAAAAGAATTAGAATTTTGGCTGTAGCCAAACCTGAAGTATTTTTTATAGCTTCACTTTTAATTCCACAATTGTCCTTTTTCTATTGAGGCATAACTGACATACAACATTGTATTCGTTCCAGATTCCAACTGTCCTTTGAAAGCATTTTGTAATGAGAAGATTTGAACTTGTCTGAATCAGTTCAAGGAAGGGGGGGGGCTTCTTTGTGCATAAACAACTGGGTGATCCTATAGAAATGTTTCTCTTTGCCATTGCTTCCAGCCCACAGGTACATTTCTAATACTGGATGGGGGCATCTGTGCCCCACAGAGGAAATATGCTAAAGAAAGATGTATTGGGAAATGCAGATTTAGAAAACAGATTGCTTGGAGACCTATGTAGAAACTTCCTTCCACAGATGGTCTTACGTGGACTGTTTATTATCAGGCTAAAGTTTCATGCCAGAGGGATGTCCCAGTAGACGACAGCAGGAGCCCTCACCCTCAGAGTAGGACTCTTCCTTGAAGTTTTGTTTGTTTGTTTGTTTTTTAAGATTTTATTTATTTGAAAGAGAGAGAGAGAGCACAAGTGGGGAGGGCAGAGGGAGAGGGAGAAGTAGATGCCCCGCTGAGCAGGGAGCCTGAGGCAGGGCTGGATCCCAGGACCCTGGGATCGTGACCTGAGCCAAAGCAGACACTTAACTGACTGAGCCCCCCAGGCACCCGTCTTCCTTGAGGTTCTTGTACACTACCCATTCATCTTCAATAGCTCTTCAGTAACTGGCATAGTTGACATCACTTGTGTAGTTGCCTGTGACCCCTTCCTCTCTGCTGCCCTGAGCTGGGGGTCCCTTGCAGGGGCGACTATCCCCTGTACCTAGCTTCCCATTTTCCAAAATAAACTCAAGATAATAAAAAAATGTTTGAGGCCGAAGAAAATCACACTGATGAGGATGTAGCACAAGTTAGGTTTTGTGGGTCTCAGTGGTTTCATGTAACCACTACTGTGTCCTGAGTTCTGATGTTTGCCAGACTGTTTTGGCCATTTCATGTGTGTGAATGTGAGTGGTACTCACAACTGCCCATGGGATATGGCTAGTGTGAATCCTGTTTTAGAAGTGAGAAAGCTGAAGCTCTGACTGGTTACATAACTTGCCCAGGGTTGTGCAGCTAGCGGAGGTGTCTATCACCTGGGTAGGACTCGAGTGAACCAACTCCAGGGGCCACAATCCCATCTCACCACACTGGACCGCCTCTAGCGAGTCATTAAAAAAACGTGTAAGATCTATGGGGAAAGGAGCAGATCAGTGTGCCTAGAATGCTCTTATTTCCACAGAGTTAGGAGGTGGGGGGTCGTACTAGAATGCCTTCAGATGCATAGCTGTCTCTGAGGGGGAAACATGGGAAAATGGCTGACATTGGTGTCCTCTGGAAAGAAAACAGGGGAACTGGGGATACAGGGTGAGAACAAGGTTTTTTATTGAGTCTTCTTTTTGAGCCACTTGGGGTTTTTTCTTCTACCGTGGATCTGTTACCTTTTCTAAAACAAACTTTTTAAAAAACATACAGATTGATTTGAAACTCCTTGGGACTTCTCTGGCTCCTCAGATACTTGTCAGTTTGAAACACGATCTGATGGGGTTTACGTGTCAGTATAAAACGTCGGAATTCCTTGTGTTCAACTTCATCTCACTGATGACCGTGGACTTCAGTATAGTAGCTCAGAGGTTTGCCAACACTGCAAAAGGCAGGACCATACTTGCAAAAGAGCATGTGAGAGAGAGATCAAGAGAAAGAAAATTGGCCAAATCTTATCCTTAACGGTTATTTTTGACTTGGACTTTGAAAAAAATCTTGCTAAAGGTAAGACCTTATCTCCAAATAAGGTCACATGCTGAAGTACTGGGATTCAGGACTTCAGCATACGAATTATCAGGACACAGTTCAACCCATAACCTTGCTTTTCGCCAGTTCTCTGCTCTCCCCTCAGCCCGGCCCAGAGAGTTCCTTGTCCTGATGTTTGGTCTCTGGGCTACCTGTGGTGGAGAACATTGCTGAGGTCATCTCTGAGAGGAAAACCCAGTAAAGGAAGAGTTGCCTGTGGTGAGTCCCAAGTGAAAGTGTGGTTCTCTCCTTCCTAGGTGGTATCATGGCAACCTCACACGCCACGCGGCCGAGGCTCTTCTCCTCTCAAACGGATGTGACGGCAGCTACCTTCTGAGGGACAGCAATGAAAGGACAGGGCTGTACTCTCTCTCTGTGAGGTAGGACGCTGATGAACTCTATGAATTCAACATTGTTCCAACTCTTCCTTACACAGGCATTGACTTTATCATCACACTCACATTGCCAGGTAACAACATTCTCACATTGCCAAAAAAAAATTCTCTTGACTCCTGGGATACCTGCAGCTCTAAGGATTCCAAGGCCTGAATGGTGGACTGTGAGAACTGTTCTTTCTCCTTCCCTCAGCAGGAAAGGAAACGGGAGAGCCTAAAGACACTTTATGAATTGTTTAGTGTCTCACTTACCTAATGGAGAAACTGAAACCCAAAGTGCTAAATTGTCTTTGCACCCGATTAATCAACGATAGAAACAGCACCGGAATCCAAATCCCTGGAACCTGGCCCAGTGTCCTCTTAATAGTTCTACTATCCCTGGAAAATCAGAATGATTTGTGACTGTGCAACATTCATAATCACAAACTCAAGCAGGCAGTAAGGCAAATTTTAAGGTTTTTTTTTCTTTCTGTAAATGGATTGACCTTTCTCCAAGCTCCACTTCCTCTGAGTGTTAATGGAATTAATCTGGCCCCTACACAGACCTAATCTGTGATAGTCCAGTCCTTCTAGGGTCTCTCTCCTCCCCTGCTTCCTCCTAGCTGGCCTCTTGATCAGGGAAGCTGACCTCGCCTGGTGATCATCGGGGGGAGGCATTGGTTTTCGGTCAGCATCTGTCACCTTGGCTTCTGCGGGTGTGTAGCAAGGCTTTCTGGGTTTATGGGGAGTTGCCTTCTGCTTAGACTGGGGATGTGAGGATCCATGAAATTGACAACCTCAAACTGTTACTGTTTTTTTGCTGTTCTAATAGCACCTCCATGTGCTCCTGAAAAGATCCCATGGGGGGCTCCTGAGTGGCTCAGTTGGATAATCGACTACCTTCAGGTCATGTTATGATCTTGGGGTCCTGGGATCGAGCTCCAGACCAGACTCTCTGCTCCTTGGGGAGCCTGCTGCTTCTCCCTCTCCCTCTGCCTACCTCTCCCCCTGCTTGTGCTCTCTGTGTCAAATAAATGAATAAAATCTTAAAAAAAAAAAGTGTTCCTTGATGTAGCACCCCTCATGCTGATCTGACATGAGGTTTTCCTCTATTCTTTTCTGCCCCACGTGGTCTAGGCCTCCTTGTCACTAACTCAACATCTACATCTACACTCCTTTACCTCTGAATCCTTTTTGATCCAGTTTAGAGACCCATTTGTTTTTGTTTTTGTTTTTCTGTTTTGTTTTTTTAAGTCTCCTCTCCCTCTGATTGGGGCAAAGACTGGCTTCAAAAGTATTTCCCGAAATAATTGATGGCAGGTTTCTATGAGCTCGAAAGCCAAGAATTAATTTTCTTTTCTTCTCTTTGTGCTTCTGGACTTCCGTATTTTCTGTGTCCGTAATGAGTTACCCCAAACTCAGTGGCTTTAAACAACTCCATTGATCATCTCACAGTCTCTGTGTGTCACAAGCCCAGGTGGTTTCTCCGATTTCTCTGCTGGGGCTCCTACCAGGCCGAAACCAAGGTGCTGGCTGACACTGTGGTTAGCGGGGACTCAGAGTCCTCGTCCCTCAATCTCTTCTTTTTTGCTTCATTCCTTTTCATTCATTTCCTTACTGCTGTAGGACTGAGCTCCATCTTTTCCATGTAGTTATTGACCAGGAACCAGGGTCATCCTCTGGAATCCACACATAGTTAGTTCTCTGCCAAGTGGCCCCCACAGGCAGTTCACAGCACAGATGTTTGCTTCCTTCTAGAACAGTCTTTCTGATCTCCTCTCCTGTGACCAGCCAGAAAGAACTCTCTGCTTTTACCAGGACTCTCACGTGATTAGGTCAGGCCCACCCACACCGTCTCCCTGTTGTCAGGTCAGCTAATGCAGGGCCTGAATTATCTGCAAAATCCCTTCATAGTAGCATCTACACTAGCATTTTATTGAATAAATGGGAAAGGTTTATGTAGTCCAGGGACTGAGAATCAGGGTCGCGATAGCTAGCTGCCTGCCACATCGTGGGAGGGTGATGGGATAAATAAGAGGTCATGGAGAAAACACACACACACACACACACACACACACACACATTCATTAACATTTTTCATGTTAGTCTGCTATATTTTGCTTAGAATTTTTCTAAATAACATTTTTGGGAAAAGTATCCATCAGACATGAAATTCTGCTCAGGTAGAAGCAAGAATGGTGCTTTCTCTGATGGACAGCTACAGGTGAAAATCTCATCAGGTCGTTAGGCTGCAAATCGTTTAATGCATAGATCTCCCCCAAATCACTTAACAAACTTGCGGGAGTATTGGATCAAAGAATGTTAACTTCTCACCTGTAGATGTTTCACGTGAGCAATTAGATCAGAAGCTTCTTACAAATAGGTGGTGCATGTATATCCCATCTGTATAAAAATGTAAAATTCAATTCACCAATTTCCAAGACAAACACTTGGAAATGCTTTCAGAAAAAGAAATAACCATCAGCAGAGGTGACAGAAACCATAGACTGGCTCAGAAGATGGGCTGATTTGACTCGTTCCCTGGTTCACTCCCTTAATAATCAGTGTTTGAGAGCATCCGCTCTATGCCGACCCTGGTGGTGAGTGTTGAGAAGGTTCAGACTTCGCTCTGAGGAAGTATAGCCTCATGGGGGGTGGGACGCTGCACAGGTAGCTGTCTACAAGGTAGAATGTAGTAACCCACGGGAAAAAAAGCAAGATCTGCGCTTGGAGGGTTGAGGAGAGCAAAGCAAGTAACTTAAGATGGAAGGATCATGCAGTGACTGACAGAGTAGGTGGTATTTGAACTGATGCTTGATCAGAAACAAAGGGGATGCTGTTGCAGGTGAAGGGGGCTGGGGGCTGTAAGAGCTAAGGGACAATAGCAGGAACTTCTAGGAGAACTGTAGGTCCACTTGGCTTAGAGCAGCCATTCTCAGGGTGTGGTCCCCAGACCAGCAGCATCACCGAGAACATGTTAGGGGTGCAAATTCCTGGGCTCCACACCTTGGAAGTACTGAGTCAGGAATCCAGGGGGTAGGACCCAGAAATCTGGGTTTTAACAAGCCCTCCTGGTGATTCTGATTTCTGATGCGTGCTAAAGTTGGAGCAGCCATTCATAGAGACAGAAGAATAGTGGGAGTCAAATAATGTATCTCTATGTAAGACATATAAAATTTATATATATATTATGTGTAATATAGAATTTATATATGCTTTCTATTTATATATGTAATTTATATTATAAATAATACATAATTTATATATTTATATATAACTATATATACTTACAATTTATAATTTATTTAGTGCTCTGCCTTATTCCAAAAGTGAGGTGGCAAATGATGTTGTAGGAAATTGGGTATTTTATTCAGTAGGCAGTGGAACCAGCATGGCAAAAAAGGGCAAATTAAGTGACAGAAACAGAATTCAGATGGACTCCCAAACAAGTAAGAGAGAAGAGCCAAAAAGAGGAGAACTTGGGGAGGGTGTGACCTGCCATTTCTATCATTCCCTATTCTCTGCTGGTCTTAAATACTGAAGGGGGTTATGGGTCAAGGATAACTTTGGGTAAGCCAGAGAATGCACGGGGAGAATCTCCTCTTGTCTTCTATTACAGTGAAAAACTGAGAAGAGCCCTGCCAAAAAAGCACTAGTACTTTAAAAATGCCAGTGGTTTCAATAGCTGCGTTGCAAGTGTCGGTTTTTAGAAGGGTTTAATGGTGATGCTAATACCTAAGGTTATATTTCTCTTCTTCTTCTTCAAAACCTTAAATAACTTTAAGCATTTCTTTTTCCCTTTCAGAGCCAAAGACTCTGTCAAACACTTTCATGTTGAATATACTGGATATTCATTTAAATTTGGCTTTAATGAATTCTCATCTTTGAAGGATTTTGTCAAGCATTTTGCAAATCAGCCTTTGATTGGAAGTGAGACAGGTAAGCAATGAACAGATAGACTTCACCTAGGAGACATTATTTCGGGATAGAAGGAGGGACAGGGAGGATTTCATTAAATAGTTGTACTTCTGTTGAATTATGTGCTTATGATAAACAATTAGATATGTTTAGAAACAATTTTTTTCAATTACTCTGCTATGTGTTACATTAATAAACTACTCACATAGTTTATTAATATATATTAATATTTAATATACACATTATATATACATACATATATACATATATGTGTATGTATGTGTATATGTTTATATCAGTATTATCTTTGGGAAAAAAACAATGTGCTTCGTGCAAAATAGTTTCTTAGAATGAGTTAATGGACTGATTTAAAATACATGATTTTTTAAAAATAGTCTTTTCATTTTATAACAATAAATATAATCAACAAAGAAAGAAGAAAGGCTGGAACAACTTTCTAATTCCTCATGATTTTAGTACGGGCTGTTTGTATATTGGGGAGACCCATAAAAGATAATTTTGAGCATTTAAAAAAATAAAATTCTTACTTAAATTTCCACAAACATCACTGAATATTGCAAGTATTGACTAGAAATTGCTCTCTTGAGCAAGGCCTTTATTCATCATAAAGTTCTGTTTCTCTTATCTTGGCTTTTTAAGTTTTTACACTAGACTTAAAGACGGATAGAAAATTTTGAATTTCCCCGTTTGAGTGGTTAAAGTCAAACTAGAATATTGAAGTTCAAAAACAAAAAACACGCGACCTTGGTATTTGAATTATCTGACTTGGTTTTCTGTACCAGTTCCATTAAGTAAGCAGAAGATCACCCCTGTATTTGTGATACAGAATCACATTATTATGTGACCTGAGTGATGGTAACTTTTAGTTAATCGAAAGCTGGGCAATTCCAGAACTTGCGGCAGAAGAGGAACTCAAGACTTAGCAGCACCACTGTTTTACCATGAACTTGTACATACTCATTTTCTGGGTAAACATGGCCATTGGGCTTTCTGTTAACTTCACTATGGTGGGGAGAGATGCCACCACTGGTTTTTCCTTTTCTGCTGTTTCTGTGGCCTGGATAGACCCTGAGATGAATCATACGGTATCAAGTGTAGACGAAAAGCACAGTGGAAACCACAAAATAGTTGCCTTACTTTATACTCACTGCACAAGGCCTGTAATAGAATATTCCAAACTATGAACTTGAAGCTATAATTTTTTTTTTTTTCTGATGGAAATTCTTCCAGTTGGTCCTGGAAGTTACCTCCTCATTTAACCAGCAATAGTTCTCATCACACATGGCAGGTGGCCTGTATTATTTATTTCCATCGCTCCCAGTGTTGGCAAGCTTTTCAGTTTTTCAAATCCCTTACTTCGGACTGACTTCTTGTTTCCAACCCTCAGTTTTATTCACTTCTTGGTCACTAGAACTTGAGAAGAGATGCTTTGAAGCAAAAGACTTTGTTTTTATCTGCCTGTACTTGTGCCCTTCTCCACGTCCCCCAGGTCCTGATATGGTGCATGATGCATCAGGTGAATGAATCGGTGAGTGGGTGGAAAACTGTGAGTGAGGACTCTGTGTCGCCTCAAAGTCATGAAAAGTGTTATCTTGCAGCCTTCTTTCTTCCTCCAAGCAACATCAGTGTCCTTCTTTTAAACCCTCCTCCTAGATTCTATTTTTAACCCCTTGGATCATTCTCAGTGCTCCTTCCTGAACTTTCTCCAAGTTAGAGAAAAGGTGTACTCTTACCTATCAAAATGTTTCAAACAAACAAACAAACAAACAAACAACTTTAAGACCAAAGTGCATGTCGTGGTTTTTAGCTGAACCTTTCTGGCGCAGGTCTAATCGCCAGACAAGAGGATCACCTAAGATTTTGCTGAAGTATAGACTCGTTGACATTGAATTCAGGACAATGAAATTTCCTGTAAATACATTAAGTTTCTCTGTAAATATGTCAGTCTATCTAAAGAAGGTTTACCATTAATCCATTAGGGATTATTAAAAAAAAAAAAGTATAATCCTGACTGCTGGGGTAGTTTTATCCAAAGCTAGTATTATTAACATTAACCATAACTACTTTATGTATTGCACTGAAACTCAGGAAACTAAGATTTTTATCCTCTCTGCTGCACCTTCTCTGTTCTATCATCATCCAACAGGGAATTTGATATTATTTGAACCCCTGTCACAGGCTCTTGATGCTTATGAGTCTGTACTTGGCTTACTAACTTCCAGCCTTTGAGTTACATTCTACTGACTCTGAAATATTCCTCTTATCTGTCCCAGCCAGATGAAGGCAAAGCCACTGAGGCTGGGAACAAGGGGAAAACCCATGACAAGTGAGTGTTCTAGTTTTGCCCCTCTGAGAGTAATAGGCCTCAGGAAACAAGATAACGTGCTGAAGTCATGATGACTCTTAAGCCCAGCAGATTTTCAGAAGCCACAGTCAGCACTGTGACCTGTGAATAACAGTGAATGGAAACCAGGATGCCACCTTCCAAAAATAGGTCTCTTCTTATTCATTTAAGTATTGGCTCCTGGTGTTTACCCACAGTGATGGGGAAACCTCCAGGCTGATGATTTCTTGTTCACCATCAGAGGAAGGGCAAATTCCTAAAGTTTTCATTCAGTTAAAGATTACCAGGGGAGGTATTTGCCTGCGCGATGGATGAGGCTTGCAAGGGTTCTCACCTCCAGATCCTAGGAATGGAAAGGACTCGAACTGGGTATGTCAGTCCACTCCTTTTAGCCCAGACCCCCATCAGGCCAGCATCCCCCTGCAGTGCATGGGGAGTGAGTTTAAGAGAGACTTCCCACACTCAATCTACTGGACACATTACCTCCTAGGGCAGTGGGGAGCTGTGGGGGGGAGAGAGGGGGAACCTCCAAAATAAAAAATAGCCTTACACTTCACCTTACAGTCATACATAATATAGAGGGGATCCCAGGTTTTCCTTAGGCTCTGGGTCTTAAGAAAATCTTTGCATTGAGGAGACATAAAAGTGTTTACCTCAAGGGAAGAATACTATTTTGAGATATCCTTTTTCCTATTCTATTCCTATTCTCTACTCTTTAAACTCTGAGGATTTCTGTTTCCTCATTGGAAGAGTGAAGATTTCCTAAGCAAGATCTAAGCCCCCTGACAGCCTCAGTATTCTATTATTATAATTTCCCTTGCTATAATCTGCATTTAACCTTTCCAATCTCCATGAAAGTTTTTGTTCCCTCTAATTTCTCCTTACTGACACCCATAAATACTCTTAAGGTATTTCTGACTGTCAAATCCAAGTCATTTCCTAAGTATATCAGAGAGACATCTGACATGTTCTCTCCCTTTACTTTCCTCGGTGGCTCTTTCTGTTCTAACATATTGCATAATTCACTTAAAAAAATCTTTGCAAAATTTTTCTTTTTAAAAATCTTTGCATTACTATGTAAATCTTATGAGAAGAGAGATTTTTGTCAGTTTTGTACCCTGATCCTTCGTCCCAGTACGTAAAAGAATAAATGCTGCTAATTATCCACATTTCATCATTTCATGTTGGTTTCCCATTGATCCACTGCCCAAGGCTGCATTGCAACGTGCACGGCAACACTAACCAGCAAACTTCCGACAATTAACTTTTACTTCCAAAGTTTATGCGGAGCGTCGTTTGAAATGATGCTTTGTGTTGTATGTATGGTCAGTAATGATTAAATTCAGAATTTGACTTTCATTTGTAATCATAAGCTTCTATGTAAAACTTCCTTCATGTGTGTACATGGCTTCTAAATTCAATTCAATTTAGACTTGGAAATTGGAGACTTTTTTATTAGCATGGATATGTTTGGTCCATTATTAATTTTTACTGTATCTTCTTGTAATTAGCTAAGTTTCATATATATAATCTTGAAAATTTAGACAGCATTTATTTTATTTTATTTTATCTTATTTGAGAGAGAGCACATGCATGCACAAAGGAGCAGGGGAAGGTGGAGGGAGAGGCGGAAGGGTAGAGGAAGAGAGAAAGGAAGAGGGAGAATCAGACTCCCTACTGAATGTGGAGTGCACAGGCCAATGCAGGACTTGATACCAGGATGCTGAGATCATAACCTGAGCCCAAGTTGGACACTTAACTGACTCAAACACCCAAGTGGCCCTAGAGAGCATTTACTTTTATCCTTAAATATCCAAATATTATTAGAACAAAAATTACCTTTCCTATTACCTTTTGTTTCTATTAGAATACTTCTGTGTAGGGGCACCTGGGTGGCTCAGTGGGTTAAAGCCTCTGCTTTCAGCTCAGGTCACGATCCCAGGGTCCTGGGATCGAGCCCCGCATCGGACTCTCTGCTCTGTAGGAAGCCTGCGTCCTCCTCTCTCTCCCTGCCTGCCTCTCTTGCCTATTTGTAATCTTTGTCTGTCAAATAACTAAATAAAAATCTTTAAAATAAAAAAAAAAGAATACTTCTGTGTATGAAATAGTCATACACAATGTATTATAGGAATTACTGTGTTGGGACTTTAATCACCTACCCAGCATGATACAAGTCAAGTGCTATGTTTGTGCTTACCCTTTATAATAATTGGTTCTCAGTTTTGAAGATCCTATCTGGTTCTTTCTTAAATGTCAAATTTCCACTTCTCTTTTTGTCTTGATGTGGGGATTCCCAACCTCTTGATAGCTGCTATAGTTATTATTATTTTATTTTGTAACCCCAGCCTTTTTACCCAGGTGACATTTAAGAATAATGAAGTTAAAATTAATTATAGTTTGAGACTTGTGTGACATTTCTGAAAATTATTGGTGCAACTCAGAATTCTGCCAAACCACAACCAAGAATCACTTCTTTAGCTTATGCTCACCAAAAAAGGAAATTTTCTTAGTTTGTGATGAGGTGTGTTTGAAAAAGGAAAAAGCAGGCAGGGAAGGGAAGGGAAGCAACATTTGCGGAGTGCTCATTGAGTTCCTAGTGTTCTATCAGATGTTTTCACATATATCAAATTCTTTTTGACTCTTCTGTACCACCCAC